CTTGTTGTCAGTTTCTGTCCAGGTTGCCTGAGTGAATGTCTGGAGGTGTAGGCACCTTGAAATGATTGTGTTAAGCTAGCACTAAGTCCATACCCCATCTACCTTTATTCTTTCCTTTACAATAAGGCTTTCAAACAAGTCATGTTGTACGGCAGCGAAACATCGTTGTTGAACATTGATGTCATGTTGTCGATGATGATGATGATGATGACGTAGAATTTTACTGGAGAGTGCCAGACAGTGTTATTTTACTTTCATCCCCCGATTTTTGTGGATATATTTCTGTTAAGATGCACTTTTCACTGGTTACATTCTATTCTTCTTCCTCAACTAGAGTCGATCTCCCAAATTTACTACATGTTTTCTCTTCACTTTGGGGTTTTTAGTTCGGCCAAGCACTGTGTTTTAGCTCCTAAATCTAAGCAGCCAAAACAACACAAAAGAGGCTGACCTATCCCGGACGTTTTCGTCATGCATGGGACTTCTTACTAAATAAGAGCTATCAACTTGCCATATGTTTCGAACTGAACCTCCTGACCCTGTAAAACACCAAGTTTTTTGGGTCATCTTTTCTCCTTTTTCTCGCTTTCTCCCTTTTCTCGCGTCTTCGAGGGCTGCAAAACGTTTTATACAATATACGAGCACACAAGGTAGCACAAAGAATCAATACATTACATTCGTTTCTTAGGTTCCAAATGATTTACTTCACATAAAATCACGCTGTTTTATAAGCGCGTGCATTGTTATTTTCACCTGTCTATCACGGGCGTTATCTTGACAGCTGACAATTGAGTCGCCCCAAGTGCACCACCGAGTCTAATACAAGCTGGATTTATGTGGAAGCTTTTTTATTATGCGCAAGGTCAAAGTCTTTTTACATTTTAGTGAAGCTTTGTATAGATGAAACGTACTGACTCGTTTTCGCCATCAACATGAAAATAATTGGGAATTAAACTATTGTTGACCAGTCGTAGACACTGATCTTACCCCTTGAAACACGGAGTTTCCATGGATGCGTACATTTTGATACATTCCGGAATAGTCAACCGAATAAAGTCAGTCAAGCTATTGATGCAGACAAGGAACAATGTTTACTCCAGCTACAGGAGGCATGTAACGACCACTTAATGTGAAGCTGCCTCCCGGCAGCATCTAGAACTTTCTTCATCATTTTCACACACCTTTGCCAAGTCAACTGTGGGCTTTTATCTTTACCTGCGCCAATTTGGATTCAACAGAAATGTGCTAACTCTAACCAGCATAAAACCATTTGTCGTTCGCAATATGTAATCAAAACAACAGATTATATGCTTGACGTAGGAAGATTTGCAAGCGTTCATTTCCCAGTGTCAATAGATATTGGAGTGTGTGCTCTTTACAGGAAAATTAATCCACCATAAGCAAAAAACGGTAGTTTTAGATATAAATATTTCATACACAACGTGAATTGTCTGCAGACAACCGTATGACGAATACTTTGGTAGGCCAAGAACTTATCAGAGAGCCGAGGGTGTCGGATATCGAAAATGAACCTCAGTCTCTAGTTTTAGTTAATAACCATTATCGCAAACTATCACAGACACTGAATTGGCTAAGGATCAATGGCTGTTGTTTAATGAAATCGATCAATTTTACACCAGAGAGTTAATGAGATCTTCCAGACCGCCGACCGTATGCTGATAAGCCCATTCAACTCCCTAAATCCTTCATCTTAAAAGGACTGAATCCGAAGTACTTCCGTGCAAGAATGATTTAGAAATCAGTTAGATTGCTTACTATATATGTTCACTTCTCCTGTCTATTGTTTTATTAATTCCTGTACAGGATCTTTATATAAACTGGTTTGGAAAGTAATCTTATACTGAACAGTCAGCATTTACTGCAAA